AAAAATCGTGCACCTATGGATGAGGACAGTGGGTGGGGAGTGAGGGCAGGGGTGGGGCGGGAACTGGGAGGAGGGGAATTATGGGGGGAAAAAAGAGGAACAAATGTAATAATCTGAACAATAAAGATTTAATTTAAAAAAAAAAAAAGTTCTGTTGGGCAGTCCACAGAGGACAGTTCAGGAATGTTCAGGATTACCGCCGGGTGTTTAATTGTAGCCGGGGTCACTGCGTCCCAGATAGGTGCGTGAATGTTACGGTTTCCTTGTTCTTGTTTGGTCTTCCCGCCAGGAGGGGAAACAGCAGAAATGCCGGACATGTATCCCCCTGGGGAGTACGACCTGGCCGGGTTCGCCGTGGGGGCCGTGGAGCGGGACCAGCAACTCCCTCGCCTGGAAAGCATCGCTGAAGGCGACGTGGTTATTGGAATAGCGTCATCGGGTCTCCATAGCAACGGGTTCAGCCTTGTGAGGAAGATTGTGGCGAGATCTCCCCTTCAGTACTCCTCCCCGGCACCCCATGGCTGCGGTGACCAGACCTTGGGTGAGTGCACTGTCATTGTGAACTCCTGCACGGAGATATCTGAGCACTGTTGAGCGGGCAGCCTCTCACTGCTGAGCTGGAATCAATGGCACTGTCCTGTGGTCTTGTCTGGACGTTGTTATAGAACTGCTGTGCCTGCACAGTCACGGGCATTCTCTACTTCCATTTTATTTCGTTGTTTTAGGGTCTTTTAAAGATATTTTTATTGATTTCAGAGAGGAAAGGAGAGGAAGAGAGGGAGAGAGATAAATGCATCAATGATGAGAGACTCACTGACCGGCTGCCTCCTGCAGGCTCCACACTGGGGATCGAGCCCACAACCTGGGCATGTGGCCTGACTGGGAATTGAACCGTGACCTGGTTCATAGGTTGATGCTCAACCACTGAGCCACACCGGCCAGGCCATTTTGTTGTTTTTTTATGCTTTGGTTTTTTATTCACTGGCTAAGTTTTTGTCTTTTCTCTCCAATATCCAGGGGACTTACTTCTGACCCCAACCAGAATCTACAGCCAGTCCCTGTTACCTGTCTTGCGTTCGGGTCATGTCAAGGCCTTGGCCCACATCACCGGCGGAGGGCTGCTGGAGAACATCCCGCGGGTCCTCCCCCCGAGGTGCGGGGTGGAGTTAGGTGAGCGCTGTTCGGAGGAAAGGTGCCCGGGGCGCTGTGGCTGGTTAGTGCACATGTCGTCACACGTGGGAAATTCTTATCACTGGGAGTCTGGGGGGACAGGGCTGCCCCTTTTACCTCTTTTGCCTTGTTTGCCGTGTTTGTAAATCATGAAACCCTCTCATGTAATTGTCTTACAGCAGATGAAGGGCCGTCAGGTCCTCCGGGTGTAGTCTCAAGCTCTGTCGTGTCGGACCCTGGGACGTGCAGGGAGGGCAGGGGCAGCCCTGACTAGTCCTCTGCAGGGGTGAAGCCAGACCGGGGCGTGCAGGAGGAGGCAGGACTGAGAGTCATTTGTGCTTAGAAGGGAAAGCAAGTCCCAAGTTTCTAGTCAAGCAGGTGAGTGGATGGCAACATCCAAAACACAGGAGGAAGAGTAGATTTGGAGCAGGAATTGGAATCTGTGTTTCATCTCTTCAGTGTGCTTATTGCACGGAGTCTGTGATCAGAAGTTAGATCAGATTGAAGATAAGGTACGTCCTCGTATGCAGGTAGTTACCGCTAACGCCACAAGAGTGGAGGGGCCAGAGGTTGCTCCTCAGTGCCTGACCTTGGCAGAGGTAGGGCTACTGCAAGAACCGTCAGGGGAGTGAGCCCAGTAAAAGTAGCAGCCCCAGCAGGGACTTGAGCATGACCCTGGTCGGCCGGTCAGGTGCCGCGTAGCTCTAGGGTGAGGGCCAATATAGACCCGCATATCTCAGGTGGGTCAAAAAGCAGCTTGATGGGGCCCTAACCGGTGTGGCTCAGTGGATAGAGCGTCGGCCTGCGGACTCAAGGGTACCAGCTTCGATTCCGGTCAGGGGCATGTACCTTGGTTGCGGGCACATCCCCAGTGGGGAGTGTGCAGGAGGCAGCTGTTCGATGTTTCTCCCTCATCAATGTTCTAATTCTCTATCCTTCTCCCTTCCTCTCTGTAAAAAATCAATAAAATATTTTTTTTTTTTTTTTTAAAAGGCAGCTTGATGGGGGCAGAGGTACAAAGACAGTAGATAGAGAGCTCTGACTCAGAAACTGATGGGTTAAAGGCGAGGGGAAATGACTTCTGCTCATGGCAAAGTGAAGGACAGGGTGTCCCCGTTTTTATAGGGGAAAGGGGCAGAGTACGTGGTCAAGCTGTCAGAGGCAGCTATATACACTGGTTTGAGGGGTAGAAACGGATGCCTTTTCCTGGGGAGGGAAGACGGGCTTAGTGCCTGCGCAGGCCTGGACTGGCGGCTTGAGGCGAGAAATTCACACTAAAGCCGTCAAGGCCAGAAACAGGCTGGGACGGCAGGCAGGTCGGAAGGAGAAGTTGAAGCTGGTTGTGTAACTTCCCTCCCAGAGAAAGCATGCGTAGCCTTGGAACAAGAACAGAAAACATTAAGTGATGGGGTTGATGGGTAGGGCGGAGCAGGTGGAGGGTGGGCGATGGGCAGAGCAGCTGTGGGTGCAGGGGTAGATGTGCTGACCTAGCCCTCCTGTGGGAGCAGATGTGAAGCGAGGAGAGTCTGAAAGTCAGAAATAGGTGGTTGTGGAAGCGAGGAGAGTGGTCGCATGGGATTGCGCCTCTCCAGGAAGCGGAAGGGAGCAGCTGGGCGGGGGCCGATGGGACCCCCTGCAGCAGCGCCGAGTGCCAGGCCCATGGGCTAACCTGGTGGCTTCAGACACTCCTGGGGTGGAGATGTTTCCCAGGGAGGATAAGCACAGCCTTGAAGAAGGGCTCATCCTCTTGGGATCATTAAGAGGGCGGCGTGCTGATGGGGGAGCGCAGTTCCTGTGGTGTAAATACCCCTTCCTGGCCAGTTCTTAATGGCTCTATTGGCTGCCTCCACAGGAAGGCACTAGCTCCCACTGGCTAAAAAGAACGTAATGGTCGCCACCCCAGGAACTTGAGTGTTGGTATAGCCATATCGCTAAAAGCCGTTGTCTTGTGAATTATGCAAATGTCTGTCCCAATGCAAAGGAAACTCGGTCCCTGCTTCAGTCTCTGGGGTTTCCGTCAGGAACCAAACTAACACTTTGTAAACATTTTGCTAAAATATCGTAGTTGGGTGTAATCTGTTTATCCTGCCATATACTGTGTCGTCAGTGCTAACCTGTCGTAATAACAGCGCTTTTAATGAGTGTCCATAAAGCATTACGTTCCTTTATGTTGCTGTTGACTGTGACTGTTGCTAGAATGGTGGCCCTCTTGGCACCTAAAGCAGCAGGGCTGTTGTGGGCCCCGGGCGGTGTGCACCTCATCCTTTCTAAGAGGATGGTGGGTAATCGGACACTCTTCCCGTTTCCAGATGCCCGGGCCTGGAGGGTCCCCCCCATCTTCTCGTGGCTGCAGCGGGAAGGACGCCTCTCGGAGGAGGAGATGGCCAGGACCTTTAACTGCGGGGTCGGGGCTGCCCTCGTGGTGTCGGAGGACCTGGCGGAGCCGGTGCTGAGGGACGTTCGGCAGCACCAGGAGGAGGCGTGGCTGGTCGGCAGGGTGGTGGCCTGCCCCGAAGGTAGTCGCTCCTTACTGGCTCTTCGGCGTGTGATCCCGAGTGTATCTGTCCCACCTCACACGCTGTCCGTCCACCTCTTGCTCCGGCATCGCTGTGGCCCAGGTGTAACCTGACCACAGCCACACGGCAACACCATGTACCTCCACTTCCGCCGCGGGGCTCAGGCCTCCGGAGCAGCCCATAGCACCACCCCCACAGCCGCACCTTGGCCAGAGGGGTGAGAGCTGGTGCGTGAAGCGCCACTCCAAGGACAGGAAGCAGTGCTGAGGCACCATCTGAGGGCCCAGGGCATCGAGCCCCGCTGCCCGCCGTGGGCAGCCCTGTCCTGGCTCCTCTGTGCTCCCACAGCTGCACGCTGGTCCCTGGCTCACTTCCCAGCGACCTCCCTCGGGCTGTGTTTTGCAGCTCGGCTCAGATCCAGGAGTGGTGAGCAGAGTCCCTGACCAGTGCCCTGCTTTTCCCGTCTCGGGCTGTGTTTTGCAGCTCGGCTCAGATCCGGGAGTGGTGAGCGGACACCCTGACCAGTGCCCTGCTTTCCCCGGGGGCTCGGTCACCGGCGCCAGCAGGCGGCAGCGTGGCAGAACCCACTCAGAATTCGCCACAGATGTCAGGGCTTGGGTTCTTGTCTTCTCCGCCTCTCATTCCGTTGTGTGTAGGTTCCACATTCAGGCCGGTTCTCCAAATACTGGAAAGAGGAGCTCACAGCCTTCAGCTCACATGGCAGTAAGAGGCCCTCTCTTTGCCAGCGTCCTGTGTGGCTTTGCTTGGTCCCATGCCTTCCCGTGAACCCTGGAGCTCCCCACTGTCGTGGATGAGCATGGAGGGCGGGTGGAGCCCTGGCAGGCAGGGGTGTCGACACTGGGCTAGGTCTTGACATAAGCTACAGCGTTCAGCTGAAGCAGGCAATGTGTTCCCCTAAAGGAGGCTTTTGTGAATGATTAGTATTAATAGTACAAACTGGTATTTTAGTCCTCGCACATCTCCTTTTCAGAATAAGATACAGCGTTCTGAAGTTATCATAGATCCTTTCCATCCTCGCTGTTAATTCATGGCTGTGCTTCTTTCCTGGGTGTTTGAAATGAAGGTTCCCCCCGAGTGAGAGTCAGGCACCTGCTGGATGCCCTGCAGCTGAGCGGGCCCGTGGTGCAGAACGGCTGCGCGCACACTCCCTCCTCTGCCCCGGAAAAGGCCAGAGTGGCCGTCCTCATCTCTGGGACAGGTGAGCTGTGGCCTCCCCTTTCCTACAGCACTGCACACATGCTCTTCCCTCCCCCCCCCCAATCCCCCCCAAACCTCAGGGTTTGACCTCTACAGCCCCCGGGAATCTAGTCCGTCACACAGCACAGGGGGTCCAGGCAGTGACGGGCTAGCTAGGTGCTAGGCGGGGGCCAGACTTCGCTGCGAGGGACCACTTCGTACATTATGTAAAATGTCTGACCACTGCACTGTACCCCTGAAACTGATGTGATACGGAATATGAACTGTAATTGAGAAGCTCAAAGGTTTAAGGGCACAAGTCTCTTTAAGAAGTGTGAGCTTGCTGATGCTCTTCTTCCTCAGGCTCGAACCTGCAGGCGCTGATAGACAGCACCCGGGAGCCGAGCAGCGCCGCGCACATCGTCGTGGTCATCTCCAACAAGGCCGCGGTGGCCGGGCTGGACCGAGCAGCGTGTGCGGGCATTCCCACCAGGGTACGGCCTCGGCGTGTCCTGCCTGCGGCTGTGCTCACACCTGTCTTCCACCCACAGGCTGGGCGCGGCTCGTGGCCTCTGGGTTTCTGGGTTTGGGGTGGTGCTGGGCCGATCTTTCTGCTTCGTGCCGTCACTCCCTACCTCTTTCTGTCGGCGCGGCTTCGCAAGGGAGTCGACTGCGGTCTGTGGAAAGGTCGAGTGGACCTATTTGTGGTCACTCCTTGAAACAGATCATGCTTCTGCTTTTCTGTTCCAGGTACTCAGTCACAAGTTATACAAAAGCCGTGTCGAATTTGACACGGCCATTGACCAGGTCCTCGCAGAGTTCTCCGCGGACATCGTCTGCCTGGCAGGGTTCATGAGGATCTTGTCTGGCCCCTTCGTCAGGAAGTGGAATGGTGAGCGGGAGCGGCCTCGTGCAAGTGCACCTTGCGGTTAGCTTGCCCGGCGACCCCAGGGGCGTGTTTACCGGACACTGACCATCACGGTCAGAGTCATTCCCTTCACCTTCGCCCAGAGAATGCCCAGGGTGATTCACGATCCTGCTCTCACCGGTTCCTAGGCTTTCCTAATAGAGCGGGGCTTTGTTTCCCACCCCACACAGACAGCACTTCCTCTCTGAGTCCGTGCTCGGAGGGGCCTTTTCACTAGTCTGGGAGCAAGAGTGTGGCTCCCCGAGCCCCCCACCCCTCCTCGGGGAGTGCAGGCGCTGCTGGAGGGGGCAGGGAGGACAATGTGGCCAGAAAACAAGAGGCCTGGGGCTACTGCCTTTCCCACCAGTTCCCCTGCGTCCTGCTGTGCACACATGTGAGCAGCAAACGCACTCTCTCCAAAGGGTTTGTGTTTCCCTAAGAGGGTAGTGGGAGCGCACGTGGTAGGACAGGAGCAGGCCGGGCCTTAGGTGCCAAGGCACAGGGCTGAGCCGGCATCTGGCTGGTGGACATGCCACTGGTCCCACGTGGACACTGTGCAAGGGTTTCATGTGTCTCCCTAGTGTGCCCCAGGGCCCACAGAGCGCGCCCTGCCCCGTCCCTGTCCCACCTCGGTCACTGCGGGTCCCTCGGCGAGTCCTCAGCCGTGCAGGGCAGGGACCTGCCGCCCCGGACGTCAGCCTGATTCTCCCTTTGCCTCCGCTCTGTCTCTGACGAAGAAAACACCTTCCAGAGAAATCCTGCCCCGACTCCTGTTCCCGACAGGAGAGCGCGCGGTCCGGGAACAGGAACTGGACGTTCCCTCTGACTGTGCTCGCCTTCCAGGGAGAATGCTCAACGTCCACCCATCCCTGCTGCCGTCCTTCAAGGGCGCCAATGCCCACGAGCAGGCCCTGGCCGCCGGCGTCGCGGTGACGGGGTGCACCGTGCACTTTGTCGCGGTGAGTATGTCTCCACGGCGGTGTCATGGGTTTGGAGGTGAGGGGTACCGGCTGGAACGTCGGGTTCAAAGCGCTGCCTCCTCTTCCAGGAAGACGTGGATGCCGGGCGGATCATTTTACAAGAAGCTGTGCCGGTGAGGAGGGGGGACACGGTGGCCACCCTGTCCGAGCGGGTGAAGGTCGCGGAGCACAGGATCTTCCCCGCAGCCCTGCAGCTGGTGGCCAGCGGTGCCGTGCGGCTGGGCGAGGACGGCCAGCTCTGCTGGGCCCAGGAGGAGTGACGCCGCCTCTGCAGGAAGGGGGGCCGGCCGCTCGCACGGTACAGTGGCTTTTATCATGTCCTCAGCCCAGAAACTCACCATTTCCTCCTTGGTCATTTTTTAACAAACAGAGTTGTGACAAGCAGGGCTGGTGGGGCACCCGGCACGTGGATGTGTGGCCTCCAGGGGTCTCGCAGGTTCACCCGTTCACGACCTTGTCCGGGATCCAGCTCGTCATTCAGAATTCCTTCCACTGTCAGCCACACAGCACACCAAACTCCTCGCCGTCCTTCCCCCCGTTTTCTGGCCGACGGCACCTCTGGGAGGCAGCACGGCCGTCACAAACAGGCTCGGGCCTCCACACCGGTCCCTCCTCAGGAGCTGTCGGCCGTTGGTCTGGAGAGTTCACTGATGTGAAGCCACGCCTTGGCCTGGGAAGTTCCTAGAGAAACAATCTCATGCTGTAAAGGTAGAGGCCAGTGCCCAGAGGTCAGCTAGACCAACGTCAGCCGCAGACTTCGGAGGTGAACTCCCGGCTCGCTCCACAGGGACCCTGGCTCCGGGGACACCGCCAGCTCCATGTCTTGGAACAGGAAGAACCACAGTGTGTGTGACCATGGGATTGCCGGGAACCACGCGCCTGGGACCAGCAGGGATGTGGGACAAGCAGCAGAGTCACCTGGACCGCCCGTCTCGTGTGTGAGGAGGATTTGGACATGTGGGATGTGTTTATAATGATACTCACAGAGAAAAGGTCATTTAAGCTTTGGCAGCCATAATGCCAAAACGGAGAAAAGCAGGTCAATATTTTACTGGCGTAATAAACCCGGACATTTTTATTGCAGGTGTCTCTGTTTCTGTCTGTGAGCAGCAGTGGAACAGCCCTGAGCTCACTGTTGAGGTGGGAAGATAGGGAGGCAGGGCAGGGCTGTGCGGGGAGGCCCCCATCATCAGTGAGCCCTGAGGTTACACACAGAGGGTTCAGGTGTGAGTTCCAAATGTCCTAAAGGGAGATTTGTTCCAAGAGAGATTTCATGTAAGTATTCCCTCTCAATTTTTTACTACAATTTTTAAATCCTTACCCAAGGATTTGTTTTTATTGATATGAGAGAAACATCAATCGGTTGCTTCCTGTACACCACACACACCACACACACACCAGAGACTGAACTTGCAACCCAGTATTTGCCCTGACTGGGAATCAAAACCGCATCCTTTTGGCACACGGACACAATGCTCCAGCCACCTGAGCCACCTGCTCAGGGCAGTATTTTTACTACTTTTAACTGCTGTACAAACTTTTAGATAACTCACGTGCAATATGGTAGTGTTTAGTTGTACTATGCTTAATAATGTGCTGCTAGTCACTCATTACTACTCTCTTTAGCTCTCTCCGTTCTAAGTGGCCAGAAATAGCCCAAATCATGCCCCCAGGAGAGGCTGGCAAGGGCCCTACAGGCTCCACTTCCCGTGGGCACTCAGCCTGTGGCTGCCCCATAACCAAATGCACTCTGATGAGCTCTCCCTTCAGGGAGCACACCCACACCCTTCCCTTCTCTCACAGGCGTGCATCTCAACCTCCAAGGGACCCCAGGAGACTTGCAACTAGGGGAGCAGTGGGCAGCAGCAGCTGGTCCTGGGCTCACCTGGACCCTGACCCCAAGGCTCCCTTTTCTCTGACTTCTTGGGGAGCCAGAGCAGCCCAACCTGTTGCTTCTATGCCCTTGTTGCTCTGTCCTGAGTGTGTTTTTGCTTTGGTCAATAAGTTTTTTTCTAAAAAAAATAGGCCACACACTCTGGTCGCCTGTATCTCTGGATCGATCATACAGCCTGAAAGTCCCAGGCAGGGCCATCTGATTGGCCATGTTTAGGTCACCCAGCTATCCTCAGCCGGGGTCAGACAGTCACACTGCCACTCACCTGACAGTGGGTGCCAAGCTTGGCAGCCCCCACCGCCCCGGCCCTGGGACAAAGGTTTGGCCCCACAGTTGAAGCGATGTTGCAACAGCAAGGGGTTCGAGAAGACACATAAAACCCAGTTTCTGTCCTAGCTCACTTGGCTCAGTGGATAGAGGGTCCGCCTGGGGACTGAAGGGTCCGAGGTTGGATTCCGGTCAAGTCAAGGGCACATGCCCAGGTTGTAGGCTTATGTTTTTTTGTTTGGTTTTTACAAAATATATTTTACTAATAAGGGAAATTCAGGAGGCAGCCAATTGATGATTCCCTCTCATCATTGATGTTTCTATATCTTCCTCTCCCTTTCGCTGTGAAATCAATAAAAAAAAATTTTTTTTTAAGGTGTTTTTTAAAGTATATTTTTCTTGATTTCAGAGAGGAAGCAGGGGAGGGAGAGAGAGCGAGATAGGAATTCTCATTACCCCATGAACATTGCCTGAAGCCACTGGACTGAACTGTGCCTTTTAAATAGCTGAGTTGTGTGGCACGGAACTTCCATCTCAATAAAACTTCCCCCAAAAAGAGGTACAATGCCTCTGTCACTGGAAAACAATTCATGGATTCAGAGTACATCAAGGTTACATGTAATCTTATAAATTACATCAAACTTACATGGTAATGTTCCTCAGGCAGCACATGAAGTCACTTAGGTGGACACAGACAGGACTTCATGATGGTGACAGTGCATTTTTTTGTTTGGTTTTTACAAAATATATTTTATTGATTTTTTACAGAGAGGAAGGGAGAGAGATAGCTGGAAACATTCATCAGCTGCCTCCTGCACACCCCCCACTGGGGATGTGCCCGCAACCAAGGTACATGCCCTCGACCGGACTCGAACCCAGGACCCTCCAGTCTGCAGGCCGACAGACACTCCATCCATTGAGCCAAACCGGTCAGGGCTGACAGTGCATTTTAAACCCTGTCTGAGCCGCAGTCCTAACCCTCGGGTCCTCCACCTGTGAGCCTGGCCATCCTCGCGGGTCAGCTCGTTCAGGACGCTGCCTCCCGAGCCCACCTGTGCGCAGCGCTGCCATGAAAGCGGGGACTTTAATGTTCCGGGTCTAGTTCACGTTACAAAACTGATTCATAAGTTGAAATATTGGTGGAACTGAAAGTCCGACTGCATTTAAGAAGTAGCTTTGGCCCAGCCAGCGTGGCTCAGTGGTTGAGGATCAACCTATGAACCAGGAGGTCCTGGTTTGATTCCTGCTCAGGGCACAGGCCCGGGTGGCGGGCCCCATCCCCAGTGGGGGTGTGCAGGAGGCAGCTGGCTGATGTGTTTCTCTCTCTCCCTCTCCCTTCCTCTCTGCAATAAATAAATAGTTCTGAACAGTTTTGTTGCAGCACTGTCGCACAGTTCCTTTGCCTCAGCAACATGCAGAGACAAGCAGCTCCATCACGACATCACTCCACATATTCAGCTGACCAGCCCGTGAGGCCCCCTGCCGCTTGGCGGAAAGCTCAGTGTGGGGCAGGCTCCATCTCAGAAAGGGTGTCCGGCCTTCCCGCTGCGCCCTGGTGCCTGCCGCTGCTGGCAGGACCTGGTGAGACTCAGATGAGGGAAAGGTGTGCCTGTCTCTCGCAAAGTGAGGGAAGAATGATGGGCGAAGATCGGTGGACTTCCTTGCACACATTTAGGGATTCCCATACTGACTGCCTTCATCCCACCCCAGGGCCTTCCCTTCAGGATGGAACGGAGCGCTGGCCAGGGATGTTGAAGGCGATCACAGTGAACAGAGCCCGCAGCCCCGCCACGAGTCAGCAGGTGAGAGCAGCAGGCAGAGCAGCTGCAAGAGAAGGGGCAACTGGAGGGAGGGCCCGGAAGGAGGGGTGCCGCTGAGGGGGAGGGTGCTTCAGGGAGGGCAGTAAGCTTCTCCTTCCTTCCTCTTAGAGACCAAGTGAACTTATTACAAATGCTAACTCCTGCCCTGGCCGGGTGTGGCTCAGTGGATAGAGCGTCGACCTGCGGACCGAAGGGTCCCAGGTTTGATTCCGGTCAAGGGCACATGCCCGGGTGCGGGCTTGATCCCCACCCTGGTCAAGGGATGTGCAGGAGGCAGCTTATCAATGGCTCTCTCTCATCATCGATGTTTCTAACTCTCCCTCTCCCTTCCATTCTCTATAAAAAATATAGGCATAAAAATGCTAACTTCTGAGCCCACCTGTACTGTACTGCAGAGCCAGGCCCCAGGAGAGAGATCTAATCTTGCATATGGAGGCTCACGCCCCCACTAAGTGCAAACATCACTGCGGCGATGGCCCTGAAGGCGGATCAACCCAAAGCCAAGCCAGGGTGTGAAAATAATCATAAAAGGAGTCACTTTAAAATGGAGCTGCCCCAGAGGCGCTGCCTGGCAGTCTCATGCCTCCAACCTTTGGGAGTTCAAACAGGGCAAACTAACCTTTGCTCTGGGCCTGAAGCAACACTGTGTCCCAAAGAACTGTTTGCCAGGATAACAAGAAAGCAGATAAGACTGAGGACTGAGGACTAGTGACCTGGAAATTAAGTACATTGTTGAGAGTTAGGCTACTAAGTTGCCTTATCTGAACCTACAGAAATGCTTGCTTTCTATGGATGCCATTGTTCCCTCCCTTTCCCCCAACTGCCCCGGCCTCCCTCTCCTGATCTGACTCCTACTGGGGTTTCCCCAAACAGCTATTCTCTTTCTTTTTTAATCCTATATAATAAAACCCTAATATGCAAATCGACCAAACAGCGGAATGACTGGCAGAACGGCCAGTTGCTATGACATGCACTGACCACAGACCAGCAGACGCCCAATGCAGGAGCTGCCCCCTGGTGGTCAGTGTGCTCCCACAGGGAGAGCACTGCTCAGCCAGAAGCCGGGCTAATGGCTGGCAAGCGCAGCTGCTGCAGTGGTAGTTTAGATTTAAAAATTAAAACCTGGCAAGGCTACTCTAACACTGAAAAAACAGGATGATGCAGCAATGACATGCATGGGCTCTGGCTTGCACATTTTGTGGTCAGCCCTGATTCTGACACTTATAACTGTGTGACAAAGCCAATTACTTAACTTCTCTCTGCCTTAGTTTTTCCACCCATAAGATGGGGGAAATGGTACTACTGCCCCAGAAGGACCATGTTATGTGCTACTTTTTATAATCAGGGCAAAAATATGTAGCTGCCCATACTGCAGCATGATGCCTTTCACCTGGATGAAAAGTATGGTCACTGGTGCATGCAGCGTCCTGGATTGCGAGAGGAATGTCCTACTGCTGGTTTAGGCCCGACATCCCCTGAGGGGCCCCAGATTGCGAGAGGACGCAGCTGGGCTGAGGGATACCTGCCCTCCACCCCCGTGCACGAATTTTGTGCACTGGGCCTCTAGTATTAAATAGAATGCTTGTTGCCTCTCACTTCAGAAGGCCTTTCATTATTTAGGTCACCAAAGGTGTGTCCAGCCAGGGGGCAAGGGAAGAGGCTAAAGCTTCTACTTGCTTTTTTTTTTAATATATTTTATTTAAAAAATATATATTTTATTGATTTTTTACAGAGAGGAAGGGAGAGGGATAGAGAGTCAGAAACATCGATGAGAGAGAAAACATCAATCAGCTGCCTCCTGCACACCCCTACTGGGGATGTGCCCGCAACCAAGGTAATGTGTTCTGACTAGCAATCAAACCTGGTTCTTGGGTTGACACTCAACCACTGAGACATACAAGCTGGGCTCCAGCTTCGAGAGAATCATGGATCGGCTGCCTCCTGCACGCCCCCTATTGGGGTTTTAGCCTGCAACCCAGGCACATGCCCTTGACCAGAATCGAACTCAGGACCCTTCAGTCCACAGGCCGACGCTCTATCCACTGAGCCAAACCAGTTACAGCCTACTTGCTTTTAGAGTTTCTATCTCGGAGGAAAGTT